AAACTTGAGAATTACAGGGTTTCTGTTTCTTCTGAACTAAGTGCTGCACTTGCCAAGAGTACAAGTTTTAGAGTAGAGTTTGTACTACAAAAATGTAAGCAAATAGGTGCACATAATGCTTCCTATCCTAGATATAGAGCCTTATCTAAATTACTCAAAGTTTCAGCTTTTGCTTCTGAATCTGCCAGTCTGAGTGATTAGCACCAAATCAATCATTCTCCTTAAGACTACCAAAGGTAGTATCTTCACCCTGAACATCTGAAGTGGTGTTAGAATTATTTCAGGACTCACAGCTCTTAGTTCATTCAGAACAGAAATCTGGATTTATTCATCTTGCCTTATATATAACACATTCTCAATAAACATTTGTTGACTACATGAATAAATTAAGTAAAAAACATTTCATTAAGAATTTTCTCAGTATTTTACATTATGGCACCCTAACAAGAAGCACTTTTATCATATTCTGTGTTTATAATACTATCCCTTTATCTGGAAGACTGATTTTTAAAATAAATTTAATTGAAGTTGATGATGTGGGAAAATATATCAAACGGAAGCAATAACTTTAAACAGATTTTATTACGAATCTGGTGCCACTATAAATCCTCGCTCTGCCCATCAATCTTCCCTCTCTTTGTCTCCTTCCCATTGCCTCTCCCCTGCCTCCCCCAGGTACTCCCAGTCTCATTATCCCATGATCTGTTGAAACTGCAGTTTACCTCCTGGAACCAGCAAAAACACATGTCACTGAGAATTAGGGAATTGGAGCCAGTTACAAGCCACCACATAGGGTCACAAAGTATCTGAACCTGAAAATTAAGAGTTTTTCTATTTTTCTAAACAAGAGAAAAGGGGAGAAACTCAGTTGGACTTATTTTTAAACATTTAAGCTAGATGGATTGCACAATGTTAAGCATTTATGACAAATGAGATGGGAGAGAACTTTAACAGCATGTTACTCGCTAATCATTTGAAAAGCGGTACGTTGATTTCATTTGCTGATGGTGAGAGTATATTATCTTAAAACATCTACCACAAATAAACACTTGCTATTCTTGAAAACAAATTGCTTGAAACTGGTATGTAGCAAGACAGTACTCACGTATTACTTCACCCAAGGTATTTTATGCCACACTTTATGCCAAGAAGAGTTAACTCAATTTTAAATTTGTATTTGCAGTTATATTAATTCTAACCAATGTTTAATAGCAACTAGGCACCAATCATACTGCCAAATATTGATGCAGTTTAAGAAAGATAAGCAAGAAGCTACCGCTCCTTCTACATGCCCCCTTAAGATGTGTACTTTTGCCAAATGCTAGGCTGTATGTAAACAAATGGGATTTAAAAGAGGGGAGAGGGCTGTCAAGATTCACAGTTTTATGAAACTAAAAATTATTCTTGTCTTCCGGGCACAGTGGCTCACGCCTGTAATCCCAGCACTTTTGGGAGGACGAAGTGGGTGGATCACCTGAGGTCAGGAGTTCAAGACCAGCCTGGCCAATGTGGTGAAACCCCGTCTCTACTAAAAATACAAAAATTAGCTGGGCATGGTGGTGCATGCCTGTAATCCCAGCTATTCGGGAAGCTGAGGCAGGAGAATCGCTTGAACCCAGGAGGCGGAGGTTGCAGTGAGCCGAGGTTGCACTGCACTCCAGCCTGGGCGACAGAGCCAGACTCTTTCTCAAAAAGGAAAAAAAGAAAAAGAAAATTACTCTCAACAGACAGCTTGAGAAAACTGGCTTCTGTTAAGGCTTCTTGAAGCATTCTCTGCAGAAGATTTTAACCCCAAAGGTGACCAAAACGCTGAGGCAACTGAAAAAAAACAACCGCCTCTTCTGGGAAAGCCTTTGTTTCTTTTCATTGGCATTATACTCTGGTCCCTTTCGCAGCGCATCTCCTTGTCATAAACATGCCAATAAACAGGACATGGGTGCTGCTGGGTTGTACAAGCCCTGCTCTTCACTTGGGTTAGGAGGCACAGATTTGTCCTTGTAACGCTCGAGAACAATCACTTTACTGAATTTTTTAACTCCTTACCAGGAAGTAAATGTTTTATTCGTCTCCACTTTTCGGGATAGAGGGGGATTTCAGTTGCTGCCCTAATAACTAATCTCTCACCATTTTCTTCTGTCCGTGATCAAAATGGTAACAAGGGAAGGGAAAAGTTGGTTTTTGTTTTGTTTTTTTTTTAGTTGGTTATTGCTTTAATGCTGAACTCTCAACGTCATAATGTGATCACAAATTGATTCGCAGACGGAAACAAATAGAAAACGCCTCAGGAAGGAGGGGAGAGGACGTCGCAGATGCTCAACAGGGAACTGGGCTTAGGGGCGCGCGGGGTGGCGTCTCGGACCCACTGCTCAGTCGCCAAGGAAACGCCGCGCAGGCGCAGAGCGCGCCGCCGTGGGCAGGGGTTTGCCTCCACCACCCCGCGCCGCTCGGGCGCTCCTCGTTCTTCCCAGGAAAGGGCAATGGAGTATATCCTCCTCGCGCTGAGCACACCTAGTCTTCTCTAAGAGGGTCCTGAGCGGGGTCACCGGTCGCAGGAAAAGCTGTGAGACTCCCCAAGTGTAACCGACGCTGCACTTCCCTTGCTGGGAAACGCGGACCTGCTCTCCTGGCGGCGTCTGGCGATCAGAGAGAGGGTCCCGGGACCCCGCATGAGGGTGAAGCATCCTGCAAAGATGCTGGACGTTCCACCAGACGAAATGCCACCCACCACTACCGCAAGGGACCCGAGAGTTACATTCTTTAGCGGACACACATACACCCCCACATCCTTCTGAATTACGGGACCCCTAAGAGCAGCCGTGGCCAGTTCCCCGCACGGGGGGTTGGAGGATCCCCACGCACAGCACTCACACAGTCCTAAAGAGGCGTGTCCAGGCTGTGGCTGCCGAGAGAGGAACTCGGGCCACCTGCTCACTCGCTCATCGGACTGGTGTACCAGTCCTCTTTTTCCTGCACACCCTCTTCTCTCCCGCGCCCCCCTCCCCTTCCCCCGAAAGCACTGACCTCCTTAGCTTTGAGTGTTCAGTAGATGAAGGACTCCTCGGAGTCCGTGGCACAGGGAGCCACCTCCGAAGTGCTGGGGTGATGAGTTATTGGCCCCTGTGACTCCAACTCCAAAGCCCTGCCAAGGGCCAGAAAAGCCCCCCTAGAAGAGCACTTCTCCCCACTAGCCAGCAGAAGCCCCAGAAGAGCGGGGAAGAGCAGGGTGCCGCCGCCACAACCTGCTTTCTCATTCAAATCCTCACACTCACACAGGAGCCCCACTCCCTCTCGGCCCCGCAGCTTCCGAGGAAATCAGGAACTGGAGTTGGGAAGAGCGGACTGGAGCGCCCGCTGCCTCCGCTGGCCCGGGCGGGATAGGTGTACGGAACCCCAGGGCTGCACCTGGAATCCTTGACTTACACTCTTCTGCGGGGCTCCCCGCTTGGCAAGGGCCAGAAGCATTGGCAATGAAGTCCTTTTACCTACGCCCCACCCCCTGCAAGTTTCAAAAGTTTCCAAACCCAGGGTAATCCCCTGATACTCAGTTTGGGGCTGTAGCTGGAGGGCCTCGGTGGTGGGCGGGTAAAGGAGTTGGAGAAACAAAGTTGGAGGTGAAGGGGCAGGGAATGGGAACTGCGTGCAACTTGCACCAAAGTAAAAGGTGTTCTGAAATGCCCGTCTTACCTCCTTTAAAAAAAAAAAAAAAATTCTCAGAACATAGCATCTGTCAATGCTGCAAATTAAAGAGATCCACTTTGAGTGAAGTGCAACTAAAATTGAGAGTGTGGATGATAACACTTTGCTTTTATTTATTCCCAGTCTCTTCATTTGGAAATGCTACTCCTTGGCATTAACAGGACACTTACTCACTTAGATCCGTTTAGTAGCTGGTTGACTCAAGCGGGCAACCTGCCGGGAGTAAGAAGACCGCGGTGGCAGAGGAAAGCTTGCACAGAGCAGGCACTCAAGTGTAGATGAAACGATGAAATCTACTGAACGCCCTGACAGGATGAGTGACCAGCTAGGGGCGGATGCGGGAACCGCCACTGGTCTAGACTGCCGCAGTGTGATCCGGCTTCTGGATTCCAGGATTTACATTTATCAGCCTTCATTCAACCTGCCCTATTGTTAGTTCAAAGCCTGGCTGGGAAGGAGTGGGGACGCAGCTCTTCACTCACCTTTCAGTTTAAAATAATCCTCCAATAAGAATGTCCTAGGAAAGCTGGCAGCATGGGGTTGGCAGGGATTTTCTGGGCTTAGTGACAACATAAACTAAAGTCATTTTCTTTTTTCATGCGTGAATTTGCCCAGGAAGTTACAAATGAGTAAATTACAAATGAGTGCCTGAGATTGGAGCTCCGGGCCTTGGCTGCCTGTCCGCTTTGACAGACAGTTAGTGTGGAGGGTGGTAGCACTGTGACCTCTCAGCACAAGATCTAGGGTTTCACCTTTTCATCCCACTTAGCCGATACCATAGAAACAACCCATTTGTATTATTCAATTCAACAGAGGCAATTACAATGTCACAGCAAAGCACCATGGGCAAGAAGAAACTTTATCCTGAAAACAATCCTAGACTCTTAGAAAAAAGAAAAAAGCCACCAGAATACCCACTTGAATTTCTTCCTCCCAATAGTACCAGGAAGAAATCAATTTGGAAAAAAATATAGGTAAAACGTTCTTTGCCTCTATAGAAAGAAACCTCCCCAAATTTACTTTTGTTTTTGTTTTTTTTACATGCCCATACATAAGCCTCAATTTATAAGAAATTAAGTCATTAACCCTCTGCCTCCAAACTGCTTTTTATTTTGTAAACATGCTTGTTGGAGATTTGTTTTGCTGGTAATCTCCATGGTGAATAGAAAAGCCAAAAAAAAAAAAAAAAACCCCACCAAGATAATCCCTCAACAGCAGCAGTTCACCCCCTAAGCTCCGGTGTTTGTCTTTCTTGAGTCTGAAAAAATGCAGATGCACATGTTGAAATAAACTCAGACACAAAGTTTCTAATAAGAGCACTTGTTTGCTATGCACTTTATTTTGATAGTTTTAATCAACTCCCATAATTTTGTAAACTTTCAAATTTTTTAATTGTGTGGTATTTCAAACCTACCAAAAACAGGACATACACCATGTAATACTCCTGCTCCCCCAACCCCTTCTTTTTTAAATAAAGTATTACAGATACGGCTAAACCCCAACTCCTGACTCGTTACCCCCACCCCTTTCCAAGGGTAATAATTCTGAAGTTGATATGAATCATAATTATGCATGTTCTTAAATGTTTAGGATATTTATACATCCATAATCTTTTAATGTAGCTTTTCTCTCCAAGTCTTTTTAACATTATTTATCAGAGAAAAATCACTAAAACAATTAATTAATTAATTGGAGAAAATCACTAAAAACAAGAAAATTTGTTACATTGCTAAGTTTTTAGAAGCAGGACAGAACTATTTTTCCTGCTTGTGACAATCAGAGTATGGAATAATAACACAGGGATTAGAAAGTGGGTAATAAGCAGCCTCTCTAGGTTACACAAACTCTTCCATGGTTACCGAAGAATAAATAGAAAAACAAAACAAATAATGCCCTCCTCTTTCACTGGTTAAAGGGGAACTGGAGAAAATGAGACCTACATTAAAACTTCTTTGGGCAGGTAAGACAAACATCCTACATGGTAATAAAGTACCTTTTCTAGATGATCTCTTGGTCATGCAAGCTATGATCTTTTAGTAAGGATTTACCACTTTTCCAAGTATAAAGAACTCCTGCTGGTAGCTCAATACAAGGTTGAAATCCGCCTGGCTGAGAAGTCTGGGGTTGAATTAGCTCTGCTTCTTCAAGCACAGGGACATCCATCTGTACAGTAGTTACAAAAAATCCTTTGCTGTGATCCTTTGACTTCATGTCCTCCCAGCATTAAAAGTGCTAAGAAAGCATCAATTTTTCTTAAATGCCATTGAATGGTGAAAGGCATCCTTCCCAACCCCCACCCTCCTCATTTCCTGAGTGATGACTCTCATTAATTATACTGGCACACCGCGGCCCAGCCTCCCTTCTAAATAGCTGCCAGATTTCTACATATCATCTCTGCCTTGATACAGAATGTGCACTGACACCAGGATCACAGAAAATCCTGGAAGAGGTGCCTGATACACGGTAAAATGATTGATGTGCCTTGTGGTGAGCCCACTGCGCTGCATATCGCAGGGGGGTTCTTAGAAAACTGCACTGGAAATTTCTGTGTTGGAAAAAGATTTTTCTAGCTGCACAAAAATTGCGCTTCCAGTTGCAAAAAGAGCCACTTATTTAAGGTGTTCAAATTTAAACAGCAACCATCTTGAGTTATACCCATGAGCAAGAGAGGAAAGGAGATAAATATTCCCTATTTTAATCAATGCACCAAGTTAAGAAAACCTTGACCAAAAAAGCTTATCAAAAAGGAGGCATTCCTCTTTCAACACATATTTCTTCAGTACTTGCCATGTGCCAGGCACTGCTCTAGGTGGTTAGCCTTAGCTGGAATATAGATAGCACTCCTGAAGTAGAGCGTAGTACCTGTCTTTATGGCCCTACTCTATGAATTGGTCACGGCCTTTAGGTACAAATAACAAAACCCCTTATCAAACCAGCTTGAGTAAAAAGCTGATGTATTGACTCCCACTTTACGATGGGGGAAGGATAAGGACTTCAGAAACGATGGGAGTCTAGCAATTCAGAATCAGCATTTCTCTTGTTAAAGAAAAAATTATTCAATGTTAAAGCATGGTAAGGAAGGCTTTATTCAGGACCACTGAAATCGACACAGGGACTACTGCACGGAGCTCATGCAGAATACAGCATAGGCAGCTGGGAAGTTATAGACAAAGAGCAGATGGGGTTGCTGGATGACAAATCACTAAGAGGAAACATCAGGGATATGAGGGACTCCAGCTAAACCGACCTAACTGGATTCTTGCTGAACACAGGCCAGGGTGATCAGACATGACCTGGGGGACAGTGGAGGATGAAGGATCTATTGAGGGTGATCAGATATGGAGACTGGGGGTTCTTGCTAAACTGACTTAGCAGAACTCCTTACTAAAACTGAGTTTTACAAGAAAATGCATATATGGGCCCAGGAGAAGGCTCAGAAGCATGACTAATGTTTGGCCAAGCAAGCAATTTTTGTCACTCTCACACTTTCACCTTTGCTCCTACTATTTCCCTCTCTCTGCTTTTCTCAGTATTTTGATCCTGTTCTCCCCTATTCCATATGAGCTTTCTGTACAACCTGGGGGTGGGGAGAACATGGCTAGAGACAGCTCCAGGTTTCAATCGTCTCAGCTAGAGAGGCCTTTTTGCTTTTACCATCTGTAAATAAGAGGGTAGGAAAGGATTTGAACTGACCTGACTTAGGTCATGTATCCATCCATAGGTCAATTACTGTGGACAACAATAAGTAGAGTGTATGTGTGGCCAGACCCTGATTATACACACACCCTTATAGCCAGGAAGGTGGGATATTATAAATAGCAGCCCATCAGAACTACTTGGAACCAGAGAGGATTTGTTCCCAAGATGAAAGGGGCTGGTTCTACCAAGTGAAGGCAGGAAGAGATTCTAGCAAATAAAAAGAATAGATGTGGGCTGGGCACGATGGCTCACACCTGTAATACCAGCACTCTGGGAGGCTGAGGCGGGTGGATGACAAGGTCAGGAGTTCGAGATCAGCCTGGCCAACATGGTAAAACCCCGTCTCTACTAAAAATACAAAAATTAGCCAGGTGTGGTGGCAGCCACCTGTAATCCCAGCTCCTCGGGAGGCTGCGGCAGAGAATTGCTTGAACCCAGGAGGTGGAGGTTGCAGTGAGCAAAGATCGTGCCACTACACTCCAGCCTGGATGACAGAGCGAGACTCCGTCTCAAAAAAAAAAAAAAAAGAATAGATGTTCCCTAGGGCGCCCTCTCTTAAATCTGCTGCCAAAGGAAGAAACACCTTTAGACTGATTTATATGTATACTACTTAATCTACAGAGTAGATCAGAAGCGAAATGTCCTAAATCCATCACAGGAGACTGAGGGGAGAGGAGTAGTAATGGCCAACTGTAAGTGCTGCCAATCTTTCCCTCCCCAGCTGAAGAAGCATGTGTCCCCATGTGGGGCCAACTGGCAGGAGCTGGAGATGGGGAGGAAGGAACACAACCAGGATAGCTGATCTCTGAAAGGATTGTTTTCTTTTGTGTTTTTCACTTTTTATCATGGAAGTGTTTATACATACACAAAAGTAGAATAGTATAGTAAAACCCTATGTACTAGTCACTGTGTTTCAACAATTATTAATATTTTGGCAACTTTATCCAGGAATATGGAGATTCGCTGAAATACCTGAATTCATAAACTAACACATTTTTGCAGTACTATGATGTTGGTTACTGAAAGAAATACATGCCTCTTATGGTAAATTATATAAGACCAGTGCATGCAAAGCCCTTAGCAAAATGCCTGGTACAAAATGAGTTCTCAAATATGTCTTTACTGTTAATATTTGAAACCTATTTAAACTTTTTATTTATTTACTTATTATTTTGTGTGTGTGTGTGTGATGGAGTTTCACTCTCGTTGCCGAGGCTGGAGTGCAGTTGCACGATCTCAGCTCACTGCAACCTCGCCCTCCTGGGTTCAAGTGATTCTCCTGCCTCAGCCTCCCAAGTAGCTGGGATTACAGGCAGGCGCCACCATGCCTGGCTAATTTTGTATTTTTAGTAGAAATGGGGTTTCGCCATGTTGGCCAGGTGAACTCCTGACCTCAGGTGATGTGCTCACCTCGACCTCCCAAAGTGCTGGGATTACAGGCCTGAGCCACTGTGCCCGGCTGAAAGTTTTTAAATATGAATGAAGTCTACAAATGGAAATGTTTTGGCATACAGAGGAAAATAATGTTTTTTTTGTTTTGTTTTGTTTTTTGAGACAAAGTCTTGCTCTGTCGCCCAGACTGGAGTGCAGTGGCGTGATCTCAGTTCACTGCAATCTCTGCCTCCCAGGCTCAAGCGATTCTCCTGCCTCAGCCTCCAGAGTAGCTGGGATTACAGGCACCCGCCACCATGCCCAGCTAATTTTTGTGTTTTTTAGTAGAGACGAGGTTTCGCCATGTTGGTCAGGCTGGTCTCAAACTCCTGACCTCAGGTGATCCAACCGCCTTGGCCTTCCAAAGTACTAGGATTACAGGCATGAGCATCCAACCGAAAATAATGTTTTTTTTTTTAAATAATGTTTTTTTAGAGACTGGGGTCTCACTATGTTGCCCAGGCTGGACTCTTAACTGCTCTAACTGCTGGGCTCAAGGGATCCTCCTGCCTCAGCTTCCTGAGTAGCTGGAACTACAGGTGTTCTGCTGGAAAATAACTTTTTAAGGCTAAACTCTGATTCTTCATTTACCAACAGACTATAACTTTTTTTAATGATTTATTTTTAAATGGCAGCTATTTATATTTTTTCTATAACAAGCCTAAATAACTATTTTCCCATTTTATCTGGAAAGGTCAAAAATATTATAAGCAAATGCACATTTCACCATACAAATAAGGAGAAAACATGATTTAAATTGTTAAACTTAGGAATGAGACTGGACTACATATCAGAATTCTAAATACTAGGTCCCCACTTCACTACCTTGGCAAAATACTTCATCCTGTGAATGCTGGGTGAAGGTAAAGTAGCATAGCTGCACCTAAGTTAATTTTATTCAACTAAGATTTTCTTAACCTCAGTTATACTTCTCGGGAGATTTTAGTTCTCAAGATAAGGTGAACACTTTTTAAAAGGCAGTAAGTGTGCTAAAGTGAACTTTCCCCATTTTCTGTTCTTCTCCAACGTGTTTGATTGTTTATTTCTCCTGCGGTGGGAAGGGGAACGAAGTAGTTGGAGGAAACAATAGTGTCAGAGAAGGAAGTGCCCCCTTTTCCTCCTTCCTAAGAGCTTCACAACTCAGCTCTGTGCATGTTGTTTCCAGAAAGACCTCCCACAGAGCCAATATCTGCAACTTTCAAGATGGTCAAGGCTTGCTCACCAAGACAGACCTTTAATTGAAGTTTCTTTATTCAGCCTTATAAGTAATACTGAAACTTTGAGGCTACAGATTTCCCTCATGGAATATACTGGGCTCCCCCTCCAATACTATCATTAAAAGATTCTGTAGAATTCAACAATATAATTAAAAGAATCTGAAGTACCATTTTTATAGACATTGAACAAATGCTTAGAAAGACAAGCAAACTGAATTGTAGAGAGAAAATGAGGAAAGACACTGGTGAAAGAGTTACAGTACAAATTCTAAAGTTTTGAAAGATGGGGGCGTTGGAGGGGGGAGGCAATTTACACCACAAGGAAAACTCTTCTTCCCTACCATTTGGAATTCTAGTGGGGTGTGCAGTCTCTTTTACTAACATCTGTTTATTTTTAAGCAGAAAACAAATGGTTAGATTTTTCTGTATAAACAGAGCAAAAGGAAAAACTACACCTTAAAATTTGTATTTAGTTTTTGTTTCACTTATTTGCATAATTAAACTAGCTACATATTAAGATGGCTTGCTTTGTCCAAAATAAATGTCTCCCTTTTCAAACTTGACAAGTTTACAAAATGTTCTCTCAGATCACTTCAGCAAATTAATCTTCATGGTGTAGGCTCATGGGATGCATGGGGGAAATTCTGACTAAAAAAAAAAAGGTCCTGGTCAAAATGACAAGGCAACACTGTGATGGTCCACTCATTTATTCTTTCATTCATTTATTTAACAAATATTTACGGAGTTCCCTATATGAGCAAGAAATAGGGCCAAATCCTGCTGTGGAAGGAGCAGAAATGATCCAAAATTCAGTATTTGAATTATAAAGTCTACTGTACCTTGGACTAGAGAGGCATGTAAATAAATATTTACAATATAAATAACGAGTGCTAAAATAGATACATGTACAGTGCTGCAGAACAGAAGAGGGTGCTAATTCCTCAATTTCATTGCTAGTTACACAGAAATAAAGTGTTTTGATAACCAAAATGAAGCAGAAAATAGAAGTAATGATCCTAATGCCTCAATTTTTTAAAAACCTTATTTCTGTCTGAATTACTCACTGTCTTCACTTGAGTTATAGAAATAATCAGGCTGGCCGGGTGTGGTTGCTCACGCCTGTAAGCCCAGTACTTTGGGAACCCGAGGTAGGCAAATGAGGTCAGGAGTTCAAGACAAGCCTGGCCAACATGGTGAAACCCTGTCTCTATTAAAAATTTAAAAATTAGCTGGGTATGGTGGCGTGCACCTGTGGTTCCAGCTACTAGGAAGGCTGAGGGAAGAGAATGGCTTGAACCCAGGAGGCAGAGGTTGCAGTGAGTCAAGACTGCACCACTGCACTCCAGCCTGGGTGACAGAGCAAGATTCTGTCTAAAAAAGGAAGAAAGAGAAAAGAAAGAAAGAAAAGGAAGAAAAGAAAGAAAAGAAAGAAAGGAAGGAAAGGAAGAAAAGGAAAGGAAGGAAAGGATAATCAGGTTTCTTCCAAAGAGTGTGCTAGAAAATGAGATCCTTGGTACTGACTTTTAGTAACCAATAATGTCATATTTTTGCATTGCAAACGAGTGCATACATTCAAATATATTTATAACAAAAAATTAACAATACTTACCTTTGCTATTTTCAATGCACTCTGATATATTTTATCCTGTTCTGTTCCTTTATCTTTTTCTTTTTTAATTGATTTCACATCTCACTAATAGGCAGAGCCTACAAATGAAAAATAGTGTTTAGGCCGGGTGCAGTGGCTCATGCCTGTAATTCCCAGCACTTTGGGAGGCTGAGGCGGGCAGACCATGAGGACAGGGGTTCAAGACCAGCCTGGCCAATATGTTGAAACCCTGTCTCTACTAAAAATACAGAAAAAAAATAGCCAGGCGTGGTGGTGCGCGTCTGTAGTACCAGCTACTCGGGAGGCTGAGGCAGGAGAATTGCTTGAACCCAGAAGGCGGAGGTTGCAGTGAGCTGAGATCGTGCCACTGCACTCCAGCCTGGGCATCAGAGCAAGACTCTGTCTCAAAAAAAAAAAAAGAAAAGAAAGAAAAACAGTGGTTGGCCAGGTACGGTAGCTCACCCTGTAATCCCAACATTTTAGGAGGCCAAGGCCAGCAGATCACTCAAGCCCAAGAGTTCAAATTCAGCCTGGACAACATGGTGAAACCCGTGTCTACAAAAAACACAAAAAAATTAGCTGGACATAGTGGTGCTGGTGTGCACCTGTAGTCTCACCTATTCAGGAGGCTGAGGTGGGAGGATCACTTGAGCCCTGGAGGCAGAGGTTGCAGTGCATTGAGATCATGCCACTGTACTCCAGCTTGGGCAACAGAGCAAGACCCTGTCTCAAAAAAAAAAAAGAAAAACAATGTTCCAATGTGTTCATTAAAAATGAACAAGAAGCAAAGCAGTAATACTCAGAACAGAACCAAGTGAGATCAAAAGATCCCCAAAGACCTCCATCCTGCCTAGTAAATTGGTAAATCTCATAACCATATAAGATTAAGTCTCTGAGGCCGGGCGCGTGGCTCAATCCTGTAATCCCAGCACTTTGGGAGGCGAGACGGTGGATCACAAGGTCAGGAGATCGAGACATCCTGTAACATGGGAACCCCATCTCTACTAAAATACAAAACTTGCCGGCGAGTGCGGCCCTGTAGTCCAGCTACTCAGGAGGCTGAGCAGGAGAATGGCGTAAACCGGGAGCGGAGCTGCATGAGTGGATCGGCCTGCTCCAGCCTGGGCGACAGAGACTCCTCAAAAAAAAAAAAAAAAAAAAAGATTAAGTCTCTGGAAGAATAAAGTCCTGTGATTCTCAACCCTTTAGCCATCCCTGGGCTTCTCAACCCAGATCAATAGAAAGAGGTGTCCAGATCTCAAAAGGTGGATCTGCTCCAATAGCTTTTTTTTTTTTTTTTTTTTTTTTTTAGACAGAGTCTGACTCTGTTGCCCAGGCTGGAGTGCAGTGGCACGATCTCGGCTTACTGCAAGCTCTGCCTCCCGGGTTCATGCCATTCTCCTGCCTCAGCCTCCAGAGTAGCTGGGACTACAGGTGCCCACCACCACTCCCAGCTAATTTTTTGTATTTTCAGTAGAGACAGGGTTTCACCATGTTAGCCAGGATGGTCTCGATCTCCTGACCTTGTGATCCGCCCACCTCAGCCTCCCAAAGTGCTGGGATTACAGGCGTGAGCCACCACGCCCGGCCTCCAATGGCTATTTTTGAAGAGGCCATGGAGGATAAGGATGATCTTACAGAGAACAGAACTGAGGCACCCAGATGATATGACCAAGAAACACACACAACTAGAACCAGGAGCTATCATTATTCCTCTCCGGCAGGACAAGACATAGTTGTGGACCACTGAATTCTGTTTTCCCTCGCATTATATAGTGGATGCATTGACATTTGAACTAAGGCTTCCAGACCATGAGGAACTACCTCTAGACCTGACCAAAAGGGAGTAACTCTCAGAGATCCCAAACAAGGGGATGGGCTTTTTGGATTGTAATTGGGTAATCCTACCCACTTACTTACTAGATAAAGCCTACCTTTTTTCTTTAAGTATAATAATGAACTCAAGTCATCAGTATCTCAGTACAATACCACCTCATCATAATTTGCAAAATATTAAAATATCTAGCTAATTAATGATACCTTTCCTGATTTTCCATCATTAATATCATTTTCAAATTATAATATTTAATAGTTTGATGTAATTTTAATGGGAGGAATGCAAGTTAAAAGAAGAGTTAAAAAAAAAAAAAAAAAAAAAAAAAAAAAAAAAAAAAAAAAAAAAAAAAAAAAAAAAAAAAAAAAAAAAAAAAAAAAAAAAAAAAAAAAAAAAAAAAGAATGAGTTCAAATTGCCACCTTGAAAAAGAAAGTATAGTTTGTTCATTTAAAAAGCATTTTTACTATTTTACTGTTAAATTTCTGTTCTTAACCTATTTTATTTTATTTTTTTAACACAAAGTCTCGCCCAGGCTGGAGTGCAGTGGCACAACAATCAGCTCACTGCAACCCCCGCCTCCCAGGTTCAAGCAATTCTCCTGTCTCAGCCTCACGAGTAATTGGGATTGCAGGTGCCCACCACCACGCCCGGGTCATTTTTGTATTTTTAGTAGAGACAAGGTTTTGCCATGTTGGCCAGGCTTGTCTCGAACTCCTGACCTTAGGTGATCTGCCCACCTCAGCCTCCCAGAGTGCTGGGATTATAGTGGTGAACCACCTCGCCTGGCAGGTGTTTTAAAATTTTAAAACAAAAAATTTTAATTTTTTATTTGTTTAGTTGTTTTTAAACAGAGTCTTACCCTTTCACCCAGGCTGGAGTACAGTGGCACAATTTCGGCTCACTACAACCTCCACCTCCCCAGTTCAAGCGATTTTCCTGCCTCAGTTTCCTGAGTAGCTGGGATTACAGGTGCCCGCTACCACATCTGGCTAATTTTTATATTTTTAGTAGAGACAGAGTTTCACCATGTTGGTCAGGGTGGTCTCAAACTCCTGACCTCAGGTGATCCACCCACCTTGACCTCCCAAAGTGTTAGGATTACAGGCATGAGCCACTGCGCCTGGCCTTAACCATTTTAATATTAATCTTGAGTTTTTTATTTTCTTCAGCCTTTTCATATTAATAAATTTGTATTACTTTCTCCCTGTGATTTGCCTTCATAGAAATAGCTGCCTCGGTGGCTGGGTGCAGTGGCTTATGCCTGTAATCCCAGGACTTCGGGAAGCCAAGGTAGGTGGATCACCTGAGGTTTGGAGTTAGAGACCAGCCTGACCAACATGAAGAAACCCCTTCTCTGAAACTAAAAATACCAAATTAGCTGGGCATGGTGGCACATGCCTGTAATCCCAGCTACTCGGGAGGCTGAGGCAGGAGAATTGCTTGAACCCGGGAGGCAGAGGTTGAGGTGAGCTGAGATCGTGCCATTGCACTCCAGCCTGGACAACAAGAGTGAAACTCCATCTCAAAAAAAAAAGAAAAAGAAAAAGAAAAGAAAAAGAAATAGCTGCCTTGGTAGTGACTTTAGAGAAGCTCCATATCATTAAGAAGCATCTCCTAGGAAACCAGCTCCTCCTCAACTATCCCAGCAGTGTAGCCACTCCCTTAGTATAGCTGTCATTTCTTTTTTCTTTTTTGAGAAGGAGTCTCACTCTGTCACCAGGCTGGAGAGCAGTGGTGCAATCTCAGCTCACGGCAACCTCCGCCTCCTGGGTTCAAGCAATTCTTCTGCCTCAGCCTCTGGAGTAGCTGGGACTACAGGCGCCCACCACCACGCCCAGTTAATTTTTTTATTTTTAGTAGATATGGGGTTTCATCATGTTGGCCAGGCTGGTCTGGAACTCCTGACCTCAAGTGATCTGCCCACCTCGGCCTCCCAAAGTGCTGCGATTACAGGCGTGAGCCACTGCGCCTAGCCCTGTCGTATCTTTTAATGACGGCTAAGCAATACTGTTTCTGTTGGTACCCTGAACGTCTAGAACACTGCTGTTTCTTGGCTTCTTGAACCACGTAGCCTCTTTATGTCAATGTGTTATCAGGAGGTGCAGGAATTCTCAGTTCTAGTCTAACTTGGAAGAAATAATTCAGCCAAGAGATGCACAGCAAGGGTTAAGTAGCAGAGTTTATTGAAGGAAGATAAAGTACATTCCTAGAGAGGAGTGAAAAACAGCTCTAGGTTGCTCCAGCTGGAAAAACAGTAGTAGTAACATTTAAGTAAAGAGACAGTACATGGTGAAATAAGAAACCAGCAGCAGGCCAGGTGCGGTGGCTTATACCTGTAATCCCAGCACTTTGGGAGGCCAAGGCAGGTGGATCACTTGAGGTCAGGAGTTCAACACCAGCCTGGCAAACATGGTGAAACCCTGTCTCTACTAAAAATGCAAAAATGTAGCTAGGTGTGATGGTGTGTGCCTGTGGTCCCAGGTACTCGGGAGGCTGATGCAGGAGAATCACTTGAACCCAGCAGGCAGAGTTTGCAGGGAACCAAGATCGCACCACCGCACTCCAGCCTGAGCGACAGAGGCAAGACTCTGTCTCAAATAAAAAGCCAGCAGCAGCTAGTGCTGGAGGATTCTCTTTATGAGAATATTACATGATTATTCAGAAAGGGGCGTGAGGGGAATGTTACTCGAAAGATGTTTCAGGAAGTCTCTTTGGGCGTGCACGCTCTGTGGTTGTACATGCCAGTACACATGTCACATGTCTCATTAGCATTTAAAATCTCCACCCAGGGGAGTGTTTTTTACTATTATAATGAGCAAAAGGCTACTCTAGGGTGAATTTTTGGAGGAGTGCACATGCTCATCAGCAGGGAAAGTTTCTACCATGGTATCTGTGGCTTGGGCCTTATACGTACCCTTTAGGAATGCAGGAGACCAACCATAAGGCCAGAAGTAGCCTGTGTAGCCACTGGGTTTTGTTTTTTTGTTGTTTTGTTTTGTTTTTGCTGACTGTGAGTGGGCAGTGCTGATTATTAGTGGGCAGCATCTCCAGGACTTTTCTCAGAGGAGCTCCCTTGTCTGCTCATTTCTGGCTATCTGCCTACTTTAACAAATGGTAGCTAGCACATGTAACACTGGACTGGGGACAAACTGTGTCAACAACATGCCCCTTGACAGCACATAGAGTTTAATTACCCAAGGGAGGGTCTTATAGCTCAAAGATGCAGTCCTTACATTGTTGAGGAGCCAAATGATGCTGGAGCA